CTTAACACTTTTTCTAAAAAAAGGAGGTCGAAGGAAAGGTTGGGGCCAAAATGTTGTTGCAGTTGAAAAGCTTTCATCAGTATGAATTTACTATTACATATGAAGTTTGATAAAACTATAATTAATGGTTTATATAAAACTTAGATAAACACGTATTTTTAAAAGTGAGGTCAAGGTCAAAGGAAAATTCAAGGTCAAAATAAGTTGATGTATTAATAGCTCTCAGCAGTATGTATCAGCATATGGAGTTTGATAGATATAACTTGAATTGTTTATTCAAAACTGATCTAGACATTAATTTCAGAAAAGTGAGGTCAAGGTCACAGGAAAGGTCAAGGTAAAAAGAGTGAAGCATTGTAAAGCTTACATCAGTATGTATCATCATGTGAAGTTTCATTACACAACTTAAATGGTTTCTTTAAAATAAAGGTAAACACTAATTTAAAGAAATAATAAGTAAAGGACAAAGGAAAGGTCAAAGTAAAAAAATATTGCTGCAGTTGGATATTTACATCAGTATGCATCAACATATGAACTTTGATAAAAATATCTAGAAAGTTTCTTTGAGTCCGATGGAAAGACAGATGGAAGGGTGGAGGACGGACATGACAAAACTATACATGTATGCCTAATCATGGTGTGGAATAAAAAAACTTGAATCTACATTATATGAGGATGTTTCCATCTATCAAGATTATACAAGCAAATTCAAAGAATTGTGGTTTCTGTGCTTTAGTGAATGGGATGCCATAATTTATGGCAGATTGTGTGTCAAATATGCACCCCTATCATATATCAATTTTTGAAAAATGGGTCAAAGGGAAAAAAATCATAGCATGCTCTGAACCATTTTGTTGCAGGTAATGTACATGTCAAATATGAAAGTCCTACCTCTTTTGAATCAAAAGTTATATATACAACATAATATTTTTGAAAAGTAGGTTAAACTTCTAGGTCAAGGTCACAGAGTCAAAAGTCATGATATATTTAGAAAAGTCTTTTCACATGTAATAAACATGTATAATTTGAATGCCCTTTCTTTTCATTTTCAAAATGATCAATTTAAAATGTCACTAGTACTAGTACTTAAGTTGGGTACGTGACGCAAGCTCAATGCGATGCAGGTGTTCAGATACATCTATAGTGCAAGAACAAATTTAAAATTATCATTTACAAAAGATGTTTTATTTTAACTTTGCCATCTAGGCGTATTTCCAAAAACAGGCAAATAAGGTGTGTTTGTGTGTGTGTGTTGGTTGGAGAGAGGGTGGGGGTTGACTAAATTGATTGTGTATATGGCAGCTTTCAAGAAGTTTCTGCCTAATCAAATATAAATAAACTTTGCACGTTTTGAAAAATTCATCAAAAACGCTTTACACTAATTTGAATAATATCATTTTTTGTTAATCTATATTAGAAAATAGATTTAAAAAGTTCCAATTACCGTACAAGTAGATTTTTTAGCGAGGATTTAATTTTGGCATTAATTGCGAGGGTGCTGACATCGCTAAAGTTGAATACCGCTGAAAATTAATTGCTTATTATTTGTAAAAGCTTCTTGAATTAGCATTTTAAATTCGCTAAAATTACTTCTCGCTAAAAATAAAATAACAGATTTTAGGAAGAAATCGCTCAATTTGCGTTTCGCTAAAATTTCCACTTATACAGTAATACAGTATGTGCCAAAAATGTATACACCCCCCTTCTTATCAAACCTAATTTACATCATGAATTTAATTCTGTTTGTTTAATTTCCGACTGGTAATCAATTATGAATATGAAATACCAATAACATGGAGTCACATGGTCACTAGCTGCAGATCTGTAGCGTTATGGTTTTATATATTAGTCTTTGACCATAAAGCTACAGATCCTGTAATGCAAAAAAGGTGCAATTTACGGCGCAATATTTTTTGCGCACTTCTGGGGAGAATTTCTCCACTTTCCTGCATCGGTTAATTTACTACCTTTCACTCCCTAATACTAGGCACATTGTTTAACTAATCTGTATATTTTATCCATCTCCAATCCTTTTATAGTCTTCTCTACACGTGATAAACTCGCTTGATTAAAATTATTTGTTAGATTGCTGAAAATTCACATCAAGCGAGTTTATTGCTTGTAGAGATGACTATAAATGGCTTGAAGGTGGACAAAATATACATATATTGGCTACAGAATGTGTCTAAAATTAGTGAGTGAAAGGTAGTTGATTGACCAATGCTAGAAAGTGGAGAAAAACTGCCCAAAAGTGCGCAAAAAAAATTGCGCGGTAAATTGCACGTTTTTTGCATATGGGGATCTGTAGCGTTATGGTCAAAGACAAATATATAAAAACCATAACGCTGCAGATCTGCAGCTACATGGTCACCTATGCTCAATTTGATGAATACATGTATTATGTAAATTATTGAATTATATTGACTTTTTCCTTGGTTAAGCCCAATATGAAGAAGTGTGCATTTAGTGGCAAACACCTTAGTGCGGGTATTACTGTCTCATGACAGCATCTAGTTTTATTTACTATCAATTAGAATTTCTTTTTACTTTGTTTATTGAGACTTAAAAATATATGATTTATTGTCCATTATTGTCCAATTTGATTTTCCTTAACTTTTACGTAGCGTAGCCATACTATGACGTCATAGATTACTTCCTTCCCTGCAAAGACTGTCATGACGTCATAGTTAACGTTACCAAGCAAAACAATCTGTTCAATTTATGTACACCTGAAGACGGATTATGAAATCCAGAAAGCGCTTGTCTTAAATGAGATTTGGAAACTGCATTTTCTTTTTCTTTTATAATTATTTTCACCTGTGTGACATCGACTGTGAACTATTTTCAACTATATATATATATATATATATATATATATATATATATATATATATATATATATATATATATATATATATATATATATATATATATATATATATGTTTTTTAACAGTAAAAATGATTTTCGAGATTTGTGATTTCTGACTTTTTTTCATTGGATATATTTTACTGTACCAAAACACTGGATTTTTCTTAAATTATATATATATATATATTATCCCATGTTTCCCACTATTGTTGATGCCCTGGCATACTCTCAAAACTAGACAGTGATTCCTTAAATATATATATATATATATATATATATATATATATATATTTTTTTTTTTTTTTTTTTTTGGTATACCGTTTAAAATCTTCTTGTCAAGTTCTTCAAAGCCATTATTAGTGATATTTATATGGAATCATCCTCAGGTAGTTTCCATTCTAGTTTGTTCAAATCATGAACCCCTGGGTGGGGTTAGGGGTCAAATTCAAGCCCCCCCCCCCCGTACTCAGTAAACTTTCAGTTCTGATCTGATATGTGCTTTTTCCTAGCCGATGTTCTCTTGTGAGCCCTGTGGCCCCTGGGCCTCTTGTTTTATCCTATGTTTAGTTGTTTAAGCTTTTATATATGCCTATATGACAGCTTAAAGTAAGGACTGACGTTTCTGAAATGCAAGGCAAACTCAAAGGTCAAAAGGTCAAAATTGTTAGCATCTGAAGGAAGATTTAGTCATATGGAATAAACCTGTGAAATATGAGACATATAGTATTAACTGTTAAAAAGTTATGGCCTAGATTATAGTTTTTAAAAGTGGGTCAAACTTTTAGGTCAAGACCAAATTAAAAAAAAAAACTCGTTGAAGGGTCTTGTCACTATGATTACAAAATAATGTGAAGTATCAGATTGATAGCACTACATGTTCAAAAAATATAGCCTAAGTTAAAGTTTAGGGATTTTTTTTTTTTTGTAAAAGTGGGTCAAACCCTAGTAGCAAGGTTAAGAGGTCAAATTTTATAGTACCCACAAAAAAGTTCTTGTCACAAGAAATACACCTGTGGAATATGAAGCCATAGCTCAACCCACTCATAAGTGATGGGTAAGGTTAAAGTTTTTGCAGACAAATACCGGTAGACAAAAAGATGAACATACAGTTCAAAAACAATATAAACCCAAGAATCTTTGATAACGGAGGCAAAATTAGTGTATAATTATTTTTTCATGACCGTTTCAATAATTACAAAGATTTAAACTTATTAATATTGCTTTAAAAAGTTAATCTTGTTATTTACTTTCATAATAAGAAGAATTAATGAGTTATAAATTAAATTCATGACCTGTCTTAATAATATTTTTAGATTTATTTCTGTTCTTTGCTTTACAGTGAGCTTTCGCTGATGGACACAAATTGTTCAGAAAAAATCCAGCTACCACATTAATCACAGCCATAGATTTCTGGCGTGCCTTCAGTAGGAACATAGATGCAATGGTAGGTAAATTTTGCTTTTAAATTCCCTTGCAACAGATACAAACTGCATCATCAGATCTGGGCCAGGAAACAGAGACAATATTATTTCAAGGTTTGTTTGAAACCTGACACAAGATTATTTTGTTTAAAGTCATTTGCAGGAAAATTGTTTTCATTTTTTGTCAATAATTTTATACTTAAGAAACATTATATATACTTTTAATTATAATTTATGATGTATGATTTTGAATTGATTATAATTGATGAATGATTTTGAATTTTTTAAAGATCATTTACAATGTAGGCAATATAAATTAAACCTTTCTCCAAATTGAACTTAGGGGTGATATGAGATTGCTATATCTACTTTTGTTCATATTTTATGTTATCTTGATAAGTAGGGAAATATTGACTTTGGAAATGCAGTTGTAAAATTCATGACTGTATTTCATTTAACGGTACCCAGTATTCATTACAATTATTTTCTCTTGCAGATGAAACAATCTCCAGACAGATGGGTGGCCCTTGAGCAGAGAATGTTAAAAAGAATTGAAGCATTCAATAAAGGAGATTAAGAAACAGAATGTGTCCAGTTGTTTGTTCATCAAAAGAATAACTTGGATAATCATAGTGGTGCTTCCTCAAAATCTGCATGTGTTAAAATTAAGCAGTTTCATATTAAGATTTTGATAAAGCTCATTAAGTCATTTGCTGGATCAGACTTTGAGATTGTACTTATAAATTGCATTTTTTTAAATACAGTAACAGTGAAAAGTTGATGATTATTTGTACAAATTCATATACATCTAAGTATTAGAATTTCCTAATACTTTTCATCAAATGGATTAAAAGAATTGAAAGTCCAATATACAAGGAAAAATATATAAATTACATAACATGGATTTAATATGAATATATAATGATATTTACATGAAATTCGCATGAAATTCATATGAAAATCTGTAAAGAAAGCAGCAAAAATATTCATATGAATTTCGTGCGAATTTTAATTCGCATGATATTCGTGCGAATTTCATGTCAAAATCGCATGATATTTTCATGCGAATATCATGTGTGGTCCTTTTCGTCTCCTTTTCATGCGAAGAATTCGCACGATATTCATGCGAATTTCATATGAAGTTCATGCGAGCCACTTTTGCCTGTGTACATTACATCTTTGATTGAATTACAATTTTTCAAATTAAATAACAGGATATATTATAATATAATTAATAAATTATAAATTGTAGTTTAATATATTTTATTGTTATAATACTTTTACATGTTTTAAAAGCATTTGATTTCTATAGAGAAAGTTTGAATCATGTTAATACATGTAAATGTTTATGAACTTGTAAAACACCCTCTGGAATTAAGTAATTTCTCACGTGTGTAGAGCTTAATCAAGTGTATAGATTTTACTGAGGCATATAAACAATTGTCTCTGTAGTTTACTCTATGTTAAATAATAAGAAGACAGGACAAAGAGAGATAATTCTAAATAAACAACACTAGAATGCCTGTGTTTTGTTTACATTTTTGTTTACATTTGACAATGTATTATTACTTAGTATACTTAGTATACTTAGTATTGGATTATTATTAATTAAATAGCAAAGGAAAATGTATAAATATAATGTTTTTATTTGCCATATAAAATATAGGGGTTAACTTATGAAAAAATATGGTTATGAATCCTTTTTGTATTTTATATAGGATATGAGACAGGGGACCGATGTGAAATTGGTGAAGCGTGGGTGGGTGTGGGCTATGGAATTGGAAATAAGTTTAATAAGGTTTTTAAGTGGGTTTTCTTAAAACAAAACATTAGTAGTAAATTAAAAGGTTCTTTCTGAAAAAATTAACAAGTTCAAATGGTAACCAGGTTACTGTGTGGAGGCCAGGTGTGCATGAATGTGTAAACTAATAGCTAGCAGGCGCAGCTCCAGGAATTTAAGTTAGCGGGGGCGCCATTAGTAGGCAAGGGGTCTGGAGGCCGCCTTTTGGCAAAGTCCTGGTTGGGGCTCATAGAAAAGCCCCCGGAACATAGGTTCTAGTAGGTTTTGTACAAAAATAAGCTACCAGAATCAAAATGTTCATATTTATATTTTTTTGGTATTAAACAGGTTTATGAACTTTGAAATATATTTAGGGGGGGGGGGGAAAAAATCATGCGACCCCCCCCCTTAAATCCTTATAAACTGGCTAGGGTGGAATACTTATTCCCAGTGGACCTCTTCCTTACTTGAGCACAGGGTAACATCTTATATTATAAGCTTCTTCTTTGGTACTAATGAACCAGTTTCAACCGATTCTGACTGACATAAAGCAATTAATTATTAGTAAACTGAAAAGGAAAGTGTAAATTTTCATCCCCCCGGTGGCCTTCTGTCATGTCTAAGGCGCTCTAACAGGTCTAAACGTCATATATTAAAAATGCATCAATTCTTAAATGAGTCGAAGATTTTCTCCTCTCCTTTTAATAAATTTGAGCAGAATGAACTACATAGAAATAGTGAAATTTGTGGGTTAAGTGAGCAATGTTCTTTTGATGAAATGGGGAGGGGGGCTCTACTGATTAAATATTTTAAATACAGAAGACATTATTTCTTAGAAAAGATCGCTTCTCTGCTCTAACATAGAAAGCAAATGAATTAAGAGTTTAGTAAGGCCATCCTTGAAAAAATTTTTTGTTTGGAATTGCCGCCTGAAGGGTTTCAGACATAGGAGGGAGGGAGGGAAATTATTTAATTGAAGATAAATTTTTGATAAAAATCTCAGTAAACAGTAAATACATTTTCTGTCTTTTAAAAAAAAAGTATCTACCATCAACAAAAAAACCTAATTTTACATTGATCTGACACTATATTTCAGTGTTTTGTATGGTGCATGTGATACATGTGATGGGCAAAAAATTGATTAAAGAAAAAAAAATTCCTACTTTTTGTCAGTAAATTTTTTTCAGGAGGGGGCATTTCAATGAGGCGGGAGGCAATTCCAGACAAACTATAATTTTATTTTAATGGCCTAATGATAAAGGGTGGGTTCTTCTTTCAAAATTGTGTATTTCAAGGCCTCTGTAAAAGGAATTCTAGTGTTGAGGGTTAAGATGTTTTGAATCTACAGTAAACATGTTTTATTTACTTGAAAATATTTTACTCTGCTAGAAAGTACAGTGTAATGAAGCAGGGCTATTTTTCCAGACCTGTGAGATTCTTTACCCATTTTATCAAAGGTTTGATACATGTACAAGGACTCTATTAGTATGGAAGTTATTCCCCTTTGCTATTCACCTAGCAATAATAGATTCATGTTTTGTTAACATGGTTGATTTAGCTCTCCTGGTCAGAGACCAGTAGAGCTTATTATAAATGTGATAGTAATGGGTCTGTCATCCATCTGTCTGTCTGTAAAATTTTTTCAGCTCACCTGAGCCGAAGGCTCAAGTTAGCTTTTCTGATCACATTTTGACCTGTCCGTCTGTAAAGTTTTCACATTCTCAACTTCTTCTCAAGAGCCAATTTTCACCAAAGTTGGTACAAAGCATCCTTGAATGATGGGGAGTTTAAATTGTTAAACAAAAGGGCCAAGTCCCTTTCTAATGAAAGATAATTAAGAAAAGACAAAAATAGAGTGGGGTCATAAAAAATCTTCTTCTCAAAGAACCATAATGGGCTAATTTAAACTTGTAATGGTACCTTACAAAGAACTTTAGATTCGGTAATTGTTCAAATCATGACCCTTGGGGTTTGGGCAGGGCCACAATAGGGAATCCAAGTTTTACATAGAAATATATATTAAAGATCTTCTCAAGAGCGAGTGGGCCAGAAAAGCTGAAGCTTATGTGGAAGCATCCTGGGGTAGTGTAGATTCTAAATTATTAAAATTAAGACAGGGTTGGGGGGGAGGGGGGTCAATAGATATATGAAAAGAGGAAATCTGTGTTCAGGAACTATCACAAAGTTATATCAGTGTAAGCAATGTGGCCCATGGGCCTCTAGTTCAAAATGCTACTCCTCCTACAGTTTTGGTCTGATTTCAATATAAATTGGCACGCAAGTAGACTACATCAAGATACATAATTCTATTTATCAGTTTTTGATTTCAATGCACGGCGTTGTTTCTAAAAATAAAAATTGATGTGAAGTACTTTCAAAATGCTTCTCAAAATACAATTTTAGTCTGATTATAATTTAAGTTGGCATGCAAGTAGATTACATTAAGATACATATTTATCAATTTTGTGTTTTTGATTTTGATGAACGATGTTGCCATTGTAACTAAATTGAAATTCTGTATAATTTCATTAACTATAATACAGTTGTAGCATTGCAATCTTGCTAAAAAAAGAGAGACTTAATCAAGGATCACTATTCTATTTACTGCTTTTGTAAAGATTTTTGTCCCAGTCGTGTCTTTTATCTTCATTTGTTATAAGTACAAACCAGTGGATCTACAATCTTGATAGCAGGCGCGGATTCAAATTTTTGCCCTTGGGGGGAAAATGGGGGGGGGGTCCTCTCTGTGTAACAAAAAACCAACCGAGAAATATTTGTTGATGAGCAAAAATAAGGTTATCCTGCCAAAATGTTAAAATCCTCTTTCGCACACATAAAGCGGGGTCCAAGGTCACTTTTGACTTCAAAATCTTCTTCAACCTATGACTTAACCATGCATTTTCACCCGTGCATAGACAGAGACTTCTGAGTGTTATTTTTTTTTATTTCTTTGGATTCTTACAGTGCTGTATTATATAAAGGTGACCGTTAAGGTTCATGGGCTTCTTAGTTTTATATTCAGTGTTAAATGAAAGGAAAAAATGTAATCCATGTGTTCTAGTGATTATTCTAAGTACATTATCTTTTATCCAACCTTTGGTGTTTTAGATAAAGTTGATGAGTTAAAGATGTTCTTGAGAAAGGAAAAGACAACTGTTTCCCATGCCAGAGGAATACTTGTTGGATGTGCTGAGGCTGGAAAAACAACGCTACTGAAGCGATTAAGAGGGCAACATCAAAATGTCAAGAATTTACAAATTTCATTTAATAACAGCACTGTTAAAGCGATTAAGAGGGAAACGTCAAAATGTCAGTGAAGTTACAGAGTCCACCAGGGGGCTGGAAGTCCATCAACATCTATTCATTGTTAAAGATGGAATGTTAGAAGGTAAATAATTTCCTCTATGTATTAAAAATGCACAAATTAAATGTCTGCTGCTCTGAAGAATCTCCATTATATTAATTAAATATTTCTGAATTTTTAAAATAACAAATCATACTAAGTAAAATGTTCCTCCTTAATTGACAAAACAGCGAAGTTGTGATCCTAGAATGCTCACTAGTGTGATACCCCCGCTCCGATGTAAAAATGACACTATCATGTTAATATACACAAGTTCAATTACAGGCGTCATTTTTGAAGTTGACATCAGATTTTTATTTAAACATTAATGCCATTATACGGTTGTTTCAACATTGATTTTTAAAATTTCCAACCGCTATGAACAGCAGGGTTTACTGCCGAAAACTTGTTCACTGTGTGAAACAGACCAGTGCGTTACAACATCAAGTTGAACCTTGATATCCGATTTAGCTGTAAAATGTAGAATTTTGCTAAACGTATTCGCATTTACATGGCTTTTAGTGTCTAAAAAACGTTTCAAGTGTCAACAATATATAGTTGCAGAGAAAAGTCTTGACAAAATTTG